ATTTAGTAATGTGGGTGTGATCGAGGCACCAGATGATCTATTAAAATGGTTTATCATTTCATTTAAAGCTCGAAACAGGTTCATGAATTTACAAAGTAAATGAATCATTGCAACATGAAAATTGAAACGTGAATAGAGAATAAGAAAATTGATTACACAAAAAATGTAAAAAAGACAACATATTACTAATTTAAATATAGATCACGTTTCCTTATCTGGAGTCGAACAACCTTTGGTATTTTAACAAAATGAGCACCTGTTCTGCAGACAGTTCCTTTTTTTTTGGCTTTTGAAATAAATCAGGTGTATTTATAGGACATAAAATAGATGTGCCAAACCACAATTGGTGACATGCTGTGAGTTGTCTTTTACAGGCCTGTCCTCATCAGTGCCAGTTTGCAAGATAACCTGCTTTTCAGACTCTGGATATTATCCCAAAGCTCAATATTGTGTCCTCACCAGACCGATACGTTCATCACAAACTAGCAAATTAGCCCGCTATTTCCCAAATAGCGGGATATTTTGGAAACAAGACCAAGATTTCTTGGAATGTTTTCTCAACCAAATATCCCGCTAATTGCAACTATACTGGCTGATGAAGATACAAATTAATTGGTTAATTTGTGATTGGGATAGTTTAAAAAGCAGGTTCCTTGGCAAACTCTAGCTGATGAAAACAGGCCTTACATTTATTTCTAGTGAGCAATTAAGGATGAGGTACTTGAGCATTTCAGTTCCAATTTGTTTGCAACAAAGAAAGAGCATTACATAGGAGTGCAGACATACGCACGTATAATGCTGGCATGCATATCTCTAAAGTGCCATGACATGTTTAAAATACCATAGATGCATGAAAAAGCAAAAGTGCTTGAAAATTAACTTCATCAAACAGGCGGATCGAGTCTTGTACTCCTTAATGAAAAAAAAAGCCAATTTGACATGCCTGTATCAATTTGACCGCAAGTGAGGCGAATAGATTCAATTATTTCAATATGCATGCAAACAGGGTAATGCAGCATGCATGCATGCTTTTCTTTTGTACACCACATGTCCATCATGCATGGATGCATGCATTAGTATGGACAAAATTAATTCATGAAAAACTATTCAGTTCATTTCATTTAATTTTTATTTTGTCATTTCCAACAAAATACAATACATAATAACGAATACAATGTAAAATGTATACAAAACATACGTTACATTTGTAATAAATCTCAATAGTAATTTATACATTGAAAGATGCCTGATTATTTTAAGTATATTGGGTATCACGTTGAATCCAAACTAGTTTAAACGTATGTTGAATCATTTTTTCTTTATGTCTCTCTACAGATTTACATGTACATATGTACAAGTTTTTAAATACTCCAATTAAAATCAACAAATTCTTCAAACATGCCCCTCCATTCCCCAAAACCTGGACAACAACTTTATATTTGCTTATTTTTTGATACCCCACCTAATTTAATTCTATTTCTTATATCACATGTTTAAATTTGAATTTTCATTATACTATAGAAAATTTCCCTAGGTGAATAGATCTTAAATCTTCTTGATCATGCTCTCTTTGTTTAAATCAAAGTTTTATATTTTGAATGCCGGTAAATAAAGCCAGTCACCTGGAAATTTGTTTTAAAAAAAGCAAAACTAGAATGTATAAAATCAACCCCAAAACTTTGCCTGGCATACTAATATAGGTAACAGGGTGAGGAGTATGAAGAAAGTAAAAGGATAACTAAAACCCTCTGTATAGGGCTATTCTATGTGAGTGCTTATGCGTGCATTATCTACTCAACAAGATGTTTTACTGTTCACTCAGAATATATTTAAATTGCATTTGTAACTTTGTTGAAGTGATATTTGAAGCTCATATTTTGAATACAGTAAACAACGACATGGAACCCCTTTAGAGCAAAACAGGTTTGGGTGATTCGTACACTTCAATAAATATTAAAAAATATTAAAAAATACATTCATACATGTATCTGTATTATTAACTCAGTTTCATTACAAGGTGTAGCAGGCCTATAATGTGTATGTAGAAAGATGTTTATATACAAGTATGTGGGTGTAGAATATATTACATTGAATAGAAAAAAGTGCATTCTACGGAAAGGGCTTCGTGCAGTTTTTGTGAGTAAAATGGATCATTCGCGCGAGTTGCTGCAACCATAATTATTCCTTTTCAAAGTTAGTTATTGCTGTTGTACACACCCATGATTTTTTAAAACCATGTTTGATTTGAAAACCACAGCACACACAATTTGCGTTCATTAACTACACCTCAAAAGAAATTTTGTGCTGGGCTGAATTGCATAATAGATTCATGCAGTATGTGTAGCCTGGCTTTCAGACAAAGTGAACTTTTACTATTCAATGAAATTATGTTAGACTAAGTCTGGAGTATGAAGACTAACCCCAACTCTCCAACAATACTACGTAAGGTTTCGTTTTAGTTTTAGTCTTAGTGTGCACACTTCAATATCCAGGACTTCGCTTTAAATATTGTATCTTATATTACAGGTCATTATAGGTAACAGTACATAAAGCAAACAAACTTCTTTATTTATTTTTTGGAGGGAGGGAAAGGATAAATTTTCACAAAATATTTGCTGTATACCTTTAGGAAAATGAAAATATAAAAAGGTCACAAACTAGGGGAATTAAAAAATCAGATGAAACCAGATAAAAGAACAGACTTTCCTTCTTAATCTAAAATGAAATCTAAATTCCTTTATGTGTCACTCTATTTCCTTCATGTATCTTATATTGTTTGCTATAATAACAGCCTTTGTGGACAAAGCCCCATATGACACATATATCCTGCATTGTTTTTTCTTACTAATCATAATTGGTGAAAAACAAGTAATTGTAATTCTGGTCTTGCCCAGGCAGCCAGCTTCCGCAGCAGTTCTGAGATGTTTATTTTGTGGCCTTCGATTGCCACATGTGGTGAAGCCTATCAAAAAGGACATCATTCCGCTAATCTTTTAATATTGTAAGAAAATGGCATGTAATTATTTGAGTTAATGAAAGCCTCCGCTATGATTTGTGGAGAATATTGATTTTAAAGTAGTCCTGACCACAGGTGGTGTACAGTATGCATGTTGATGAATACTAGAAATAATAAATCATTAAAATAAAATAAAATAAAATGAGTCAAATCAAAACAAATTAGATCAGATCTTATCAATATAAACAAATTACTTTTCATATAATGTCATTTCATTCACTTCTTTTCTCTTTTCATGTAAATTTGGTCTTCTTTTTGTTGTTAGTTGTAGTTATTCCCTATACCTCTAATTTCCTCTTACATTGACTATTTCTGTCACTTTCGGCTAGGCTCTCTTTATGTGTATTAATGAGATTCTATGTTATCTGTTCAATAACATCTTGATGGCAATCTCTTGTCGTCTATTTGGAGCCATGCAGAAGGGTGTTAATTCATATCAATTTACACCGAGTAAACACCTTTCTACATGTATCTTCAAATAGGGGATGTACGCTGTATTAATCCTTGCTACGTTATAGCATGAAGAACACCATGCTATGCATTCTAAATGAGTCTATTTCAAATTTGGTAGTCTAAATGGAGGGGGGGGGGGGGGGGTCAGAGAACTCTGTTTCCCAGTGGTATAGACTGTTTCTTGTCATCCAATATCAACTTCATTATATGGTCGATTGCTCCTGTCAATAAGCTATAAACCCTTGCTTTTGGGAGTAGAGATAATTGCTTGGAAGTACCAAAGAGGCTGCACATAGCTCTAGCTCATTAGTAGCGATCTTCAATTGAATGATAATATCAGAGAATTCATAATGATTCCAAGAATTTATATGATGCCATTTTCTGTTTGATAAATAATAGCTCCTCAACAAAGAACGCAGTATCGCTGATTCCTCTGCTAAATTAGCCATAAACCCTTGTTTGCGGGAAGAGGTAGTTTCTTTGAACCCACCCACCCCAAACAAACAAATAAACAGCAAAACAAAATATATTTGACTTCATTAGTGGCGATCTTCGATAGGATGATGATATTAGAGATTATTATCTATATAAGGCTTTCAAGTGGTACAATAAATCAGTACCGGTATATTCAATATCTTTAGCGCAGTACCCGGATGACTGACCAATATTGTTTTCGCTCAGTTATCCAAGATTTTCAACTATTCATATGACACGAAAAAAACAAAGCCATATTTACCAAGGTTATTCAAACTTTGTTATTTCGCTAGTCAGACTAATATAGATAATAATAATAATATTGTATGGCTTTGTTTTCGTATGATACAAGAATATATTGCTCTCGCTAAGACAATATTAGACTCGTCTTAGACTCGTCAATATTGTCATAGCTTGAGCAATTTATTCTTGTATCACACTCAAAGCCATCCAATATTATATAAACATACCTGCCAACCTGAGACAAGAGAAATTAGGAGTAAATTTTTCTGGATGGACTACGAGGTCGCGAACCACCGAAGGATTGGGGTAGTAGCCCGTAGATTGGGGGGGGGGAACCAACGATCACGTTCGGGCTGCGCTGTGTATATCTTCTATGAGCGCGAGCGCGGATGTTGGCGTGATCTGGTTATCAGTGCTGTGTTATGCTTTAGTCTTATACATACATACATACATATTGGTATTTATTGAGTGCCTTTACATGAACATGCTCAAGGCGCTTTACATTTCGAAATACAAACATAATAGTTATATACTCTCCAAGTGCATTACACTCTAAAAAAAAAAAAAAAAAAAAAAAAAAAAAAAAATTTAAAAATCGGAGTTTTGAGGCATGCATTCGGAATTCGGAGTTGGTATGAAAACTGCGGAGGAACTCCGCCTAAATCGGGGTGGTTGGCAGGTATGTATAAAGATTGGATATCGAAAATGTTAATCTCTTTCTCTTCTTCCTCTCCCTCTTTCCCTCTCCCTCTTTCTCTCCTTTTTTCCTTTTCCCTCTCTCCTTTTCTCTATATATTTTTTTTTACTGTTACAGGAGTGACCATGACTGTGGGCAACGCTCTCAACAACCACTCGGTCAAGATGCGCGGCCGTGTAGTGACCATTGGTATCGCACCCTGGGGGGTACTCAACAGCAGAGAGAGTCTCATTGGTCAAGATGTAAGTCTCTTAAATTTGAAACCAAAGCTTTCCCCCTTCAAACCACAGAAAAACAGGAGTATTACAAGTATTGAGAATATGACAAACCATGTTTTTCTCTCTAAAACCTCATTCTTCCAACTGCAAAAATACACCCATTCATTATACAATTTTTCTTTATAAACAATTCTTGTGTGCATCTTGTGCCAGTTTTAAGTGTTTAATTGTACTAATGATACTTGATTTCTTTTTTCTTGTTCACATACTCTTCCTACCTTTTATTTGCTGTTTTCAATCTTTTAATTTGTGATCACATCTGCAATCCACAATTTTTTGAATTTGCATATGTACATAAGAATCTTCTTATTGAATTGAATTGAATTGTATTGAATAATGTTGTAAAATCTTGATTTCAAAGGGATGCTTAAGAAAGGCATGTATTCTGATTTTACATATGTTTTTAGTTTATTTATTTATCATTTCCATCAAATGGGGTGGATGAGCTTTCCAACACGATTTTGTTGTCAAAGGGGTCCACAAGATCATCCATTGTCAAGCGATATGATTTTCAGAGGGATGTTACAAAGAGATTTAATTACAGAAATGATCAAATTTGAGGAAGGGAGTGTCATCATGGCGCGAAAGTCAGTAACCCCTCGTAAGACAGAAAATGCTGACTTGAATATGTGATTATGATGATGATTAGTATGTTTAAAATATTAAAACATTATAGGATAATACTCTTCAAAATCTAAGGAGAGAAAGAGAGTATATAGTTGCAGATTATACTGTCTCCTAAGAGCCAGAATGGTGTTATTAAACTTCTATTAACTTCCATTAACTTCCATTAACTTCTATTAACTTCTATTAAACTTCTATTAAACTTCTATTAAACTTCCATTAACTTCCATTAACTTCTATTAACTTCTATTAACTTCCATTAACTTCTATTAACTTCTATTAAACTTCTATTAAACTTTTATTAACTTCCATTAACTTCTATTAACTTCTATTAAACTTCTATTAACTTCCATTAACTTCTATTAACTTCTATTAAACTTCTATTAACTTCAATTAAACTTCTATTAACTTCTATTAACTTCCATTAACTTCTATTAACTTCTATTAAACTTCTATTAACTGCGATTAAACTTCTATTAACTTCTATTAACTTCTATTAACTTCTATTAAACTTCTATTAACTTCGATTAAACTTCTATTAACTTTGATTAAACTTCTATTAACTTCTATTAAACTTCTATTAACTTCGATTAAACTTCTATTAACTTCTATTAGACTTCTATTAAACTTCTATTAACTTCTATTAAACTTCTATTAACTTCGATTAAACTTTCATTAACTTCTATCAACTTCTATTAACTTCTATTAAACTTCTATTAACTTCCATTAACTTTTATTAACTTCTATTAAACTTCTATTAACTTCTATTAAACTTCTATTAACTTCGATTAAACTTCTATTAACTTCTATTAACTTCTATAAACTTATATGTAACAGTATGAGTTAAGGTCCTTCAAAGTTCAAGCTCTCCGAAGATGAAATGAAAGTACTCCAGGGTCGCACTTTACGTGATTTCCCTTGTTACCATGGTCATTTCCAGTAACATTAGACTTGCATTCCTTTACACATATACTTCAAATCCCCCTCCCCCCCCCCCCCCCCCCCAAACCAAAAAAAAAAAAAATAAGAAAATAAGAAATAAAAAGAACTCTTCCAAAGTGACTGTGTCCTGTCTGCTATGTCTATTACGTTGCAATTTTCCAATAAGTACTTGAGTTGTCACAGACAGTCCAACTCTCACTGATCACCGTCCATCTCTGTAATCACCCAAGACTTGCACGAGTCCTTATCATTATCCCTGATTTCCACCAACGTTTCTTGCCCGACCGAATCAAAATCGGGTATTTTGACCTATATGCCTGCTAGGAACAGACTTTTAACTTCCATTAGTCACTCTGCAGCATACGATAACTGTACTTCATCGTACGACAGCTGCCTGGGCTAAAGCCTCATCATGATGTAGCCTATGACACATGTACCATCTCCATAACACCCGGTTTAGCCTTCATGAAGTAGATGCCGGTCGGTCGTCGTTCCTTAACCCGTCCGTCCGCAAAACACATGCCAACTCAGAGGCCCTCCGCTCCTCGCAAGACCAGCGTAATTGTCATTTTTTGTAATTCCCACTCGCGATGCTGGTATTGTCGTGTACTTGAATCCTATTGTTTTAGAATGAATCGATTGCTCACTGATTGCTTGAAATTGAGAATGACAGGTAAGCTGACCCAGGTGCCAAAGAGAGAGAGAAAGAAAGAAAAAGAATCCTAATTGACAAACAACTTTTGAGCTTCGTCCAAAAGGGCAATCTTGGTCCTAAACTAGTGCCAAGCAAAGGATCTTTGTATATTTTATAAAACTGAGTGTTTGATAGGTTCCTTGGGGTCAAAAGGTGATTCATAAGGACTCTATTAACAATTAACTGTAAAAATGAATTATTTTGTTTGTACTTCAGTTTTGGGGCCTAATGTTGGGCAATTGGTTGGGATTATAAGTCATGATTTCGTTCTCACCAATTGTAGGGTTTCCAGGGCGAGGAAGGGGTCATGGGTCAGTTGTGGTTCCTAAAGTCTGCCACTTTGAGACTGGAGTTAAGGACACATACAGTTAACAACAAAATTATTCATACCCCTTTTAAGTTTGAAGTCTTTTGTGTTTTTTTAAGAATGGAAGGTGGACCCACACACAATGCTCAAGTAACATAAACCAGGACAAACCAATTTTCCCCACAAAAAAATGAAGCAAAAAAAATCAAAACTCAATATGGCCAGGTATGAATAATAATTTAACTTTAAGGTGTGTATCAGGGAATGTAATGTTGAATTGTTCATTCCTGGTGAATTTTGATTTGTCGATGCACATTTCATGAACAGAGAGCATTGTAAATATAACTTAGCCGTCAGCCAAGAGCACTTAAAATTGTGTATTCAAAAGCCAGAAGGGCGTTGAGTTTGTGTAAAATTATACGAGTTAGTGCTGTTCTGCCCTCATCAGATAATAAAACGGTGGGGGAGGAGATATTGTAGCATACTGTGGAGATGGAGCAGGATAAGAAGGCTCTGAAATATGAAATGAAAAAGAACATAATTAAAAGAGTGATGTGATGATAAGAAGTATAGGGGCCAGAGGTTTGCTTGAAACTTCAAGTTCATTTGTCGACAAGGACACAATCTTGTTCACTAATATTCGGATACTTTGCTGACATTTTAATCTGTATTCAGTCTAAAGAGAGTATACGGAAGGAGCGGCCTTATCATTTCCTAGCTCTACTGAATGTAATTAAACATGAAGGACTTTTAAAAATTTCCCTTATGTAACCCCAACAAGTGTCACGTTATCTTGACAAATCTATGTCAGGGGAGTCAGCCGTCCTGTGCGTGAGTACACGGAACAGGCCTCACGCAAAGAGTAGCTTGTTAGCATTCTCAATTTAATGAGTCTTGCACCATCTTCGACATTTCTGGCTGATTTTGGAGCGAAATTTCAATGATATATTTGTTGTTTGTTGATAGGTGAGAGCTCACGGAAAGGAAATCCTCAATTAAATAAAACAGTGACAGACTGGAGCGCTCCTAAAGATCATTTCATGAAGCCATCAATGTTGTTTAGGCATGAGGTGGATTTCTTAGGGAGACCAGTTGTTTCTTCTACGCCAATCCCAACATCCTTTGACACTACTCTCTACGCCGTCTGTCCTTTCATATTAAAATAGATTTATTAATATCAAAGAAAAATGTGGTCGTTCTGACTCAGAAAGCTTGCGCACTAATCTCTCCTCTCGTGATTGCTCTCTCTGTCTCCTTCTCTTTGATCTCTCTGTGTCTTCCTCTCTATGTCTCTTTATTTTTCCTGATGTGTTTGCTGTCTTCTGTGACTTGTCATGCTTTCCCTTTACCCACATCCTTTCCACTCATTTAGAAATTACGTCATATTTGACGTGGAAGTTTTACAGACCCCACTTCTATCCTATTCACTTTGGTCTGTTTCGCTCTGTTTAAGAAAATGCGCAGAAGTACAGACCTTATATAAAAGTGCTTAGTTCATGACCAGTGAGACTTTTTTTATATTTGCTTTAATATGTTCTCTGTAGGAAATTGATTGTTCTGACAACAGGGGGGTGTTTCATAAAGAGTTTGTAAAGTTACGCATAACTTTACGAATGACTTGTATATGAAGTGCCAGATAGGATGCCCAAAGTTTTTTCTGATATTTCCAATAACCTCAAATAAATTATGACAAAACATATACTTTGCATTAAAAATGGTTGTTATAATAAGAATGTTAATCTGCATCTGCACAGTTCAACTTAATAAATAATAATCAATAATGATTGAGCATCCTATTTGGCTTCTCATATACAAGTCGTTCGTAAAGTCATGCGTAACTTTACGAACAGCTTCATGAAACACCCCCCTGGTCAGGCGGCACTAACCATACTATAACCCTGAAACAAATGTTACCTGTTAATTACTAATCCTAACTTTGTCCACGTATCGGAAGAAATAAGGCCTGGAGCAAATGAAAGGTTGAAGAACTGATCATCTGATGTTGTTCCGACAGATTTCTTTGCATTTTGTTAGTAGCAAAGTGACCGGATATATATGCACAACAAATGAAGAGACAATAGATAAAACTAATTATATCTTAATTAAGGGTTGATTAACGCAAGTATTAAAAGCAGCGCCAGGGGACGTGCTGAGAGAGAGGAAGTGGAGTTTATAGACCTTGCCTCCAGGAAAGGTTAGCTTTATCTATTCACCTTTATACTAATGTGCAGATGGACTGACTCCAGAAGGGTACTGAACCCGGTCCTGATTATTAATCATTGATTCAAATTAAATAGTTTAATTTAGTTGGCATAGCCATAATAACCGATTCCTACCAATTCTATTTTTGGGGTGGTGGGGGGGGGGAGGGATGGGGGGAGGAAGAGGCTCATTATA